CTTTAGGTGTTTTGTTCAGAGTGTTCATTTAGTTCAACTATTATTGCAGAGAATGATCGGATGAGCGTAACTGCGAAAAAGATGTGAAAAAGAGCAAAATGTGACCAGGTCAAACAAGCAAGATGTGCAAAGTCAAACAAGCAAAATAAGCACAATGCGTCTCAAAGAGTAAGATGTGACAAACAAGCAAGGATGATCAGGTCAAACAAGCAAGATGTGCAAAGTCAAACAAGCAAAATAAGCACAATGTGTCTCAAAGAGTAAGATGTGACAAACAAGCAAGGATGATCAGAATATTAAATAAATTCATTAATGTGACAAACAAGCAAGATGAGCTAAGTCAAACAAGCAAAATAAGCACAATGCGTCTCAAAGGAGTAAGATGTGACAAACAAGCAAGGATGATTAGAATATTAAATAAATTCGAATGAATTTATTTTGATTCATCTCACATGTCACAAGAATCCAAATTGCCAGAAGATATGATCAGAATGATGGAAAATTTATGAAGGCATGAATAAAGATCTTATCCTAGAAATAAATTTTATCAGAAGGATTTATTGCAAAGAGACGTTGGAAATTCAAAAATGGCAAAGATAATAATATTTTAGAAACAACTTGAAAATCAAGTTGAAATAAAAATATTATCTTGTCAGGCAAGTTGACAATCAAATCAAATTGAAGACCTACTATTGTCAAAATCAAATTGAAGACCTACTATTGTCAACAATATCAGGCTACAAGATTCAAATTTCAAATATCAAAATATCTCACTCCAACGGATATATTTGATTATCTATAAAAGGCCATGAAGACTTGAAGAAAAGAAATAACACGAGACACACAATAGAGGCGGATGAACAAGTGCAAGTGCTAAATATTCATTGAAATATCTAGAAGAGGGACTTAGTCTGAATAGTCTCAAAATTAGTTGGAGAGAGATACAATTACATTTGTATTTGTAATTGTAAAAAGAGTATAGCTGTGTGCAAAATACTCTAGTGATTGTAGCTGTAACACCCCTAAATTTTAAGATATTTAAAACCTATAAAATAAAGGGCTAATCTATTATTATTTCCCAAACAAGCATAAGCTAAACATAATAGTCGGGGTGCTATGCCACATCTGAACTATAAAACTCAGATGCACAGGCTAAACTATCTAACAAAGCATTAACCACAAATGATATCTAAGTACAAATCAAGACACGCAAGCCATCTCATCAAAGCTGGAACTACCTAAACTAAGACCACGAATCCAACTAGCGCGCTCCGAAGCTACTCAACTGTCCCTGAAAAACATTCGGTGTAACAACCGTCATCGAATAATGTGGGTAACCCACTCCAACACGTTAAGTACAATATAGGTAGATATAAGAAACTCATTTTGAAACTGGAATACATATATACTTACGAGACTCTAGTTTAAATCCAAGATCAAGACTCAATGCATATTAACAGACTCAACAATATAGAGTAATCATAAAGACTAACATGCATCCTAAGAACGCAATACATGATATAACAGGCAGATAAGCATATAAATAACATGTAGAGGCAACGGAGGCATTTTATACAATCAATTAGCATGTAGTCATCAAAGCACACAATTCATCCTCCAACCTTATACCAAGTTCCAACCTTGTATCTCCCCTCCGTCCTTATATCAGTTCCAACCTATACCTCCAGGCCACCCTTATATCACCACCCCTTATGCCTCCGGGAAACTACATGCCCCCACCGACAAACCACCTATCAACCACGTACCAACATATCAAGATGGTGCCACAGTGCCATTCAATGATCCGCACCTCTAATGCCACTATCAAGAGATTAGCTTATATAGCTCTAACATGACACCGCATCACTTATAAGCTAACCCATGCTCAATGGCAAGCAAGTCTAAGGTGGGTGTGTGCCTTTAGCACAGTCACCGCTATGACACGTACCTTTAGTACAATGACCGAGCACAAGTGATGCCAACCGCAAACAATTTATTTCCACCAATCACAATCTCATCATCATCATTCACACTGGCCATTGCGTAATGACCACAATACTCATCACCAATCAATCAATCAACACATAATCACATAACAATCAAAGCACAACAACAATGACACGTATTACACATAAATTCCTAGAATGATACCTAAAACACCATACGAGACTCATACACGACACACGGGGTACAACCAGACACAACAGAACACAGGGAAATATCAAACGGGAAAAAACATCACGACACACATTAACATTCCAGCGGGTAGGTGACGGGTGGAGGACCACCCGCCGGCGGCCACCTTTTATTCTAGCAAGTGGCCGGCAGGCAGACCACCGCCCGCCGGCTGCCCACTACCCCCCCCCCCCCCCACCTACCCCCACTGGTACACAGGCAACTTTCGGTCCCAGGATCTTTCGTGGAATCCGAAACCACGTCCGAACACATTCAAACACATAATGACAACACCACGGACTCAATTAACGGAATTAAACCAAGAATTACACAAAATACGTTCTAACACGAGTCCAAAACATGCCAAGACTCCACATTAATCATATAACAGTTCAGGAACATCTGGAACCACATTAATATCAAGAAATTTATATGCAAAGTCCTAAACATAAGTCCTAGGCTAGACTCAACACCCGATCATGCATAATCCCACCTAAATATACCAAAAACATCATAATACGAAATTCACGATATGAACCCTAGGGCTCTAGACATAATTATAATACAAGATCATACACATAATCAATCACAATATCAAAAACATAAAGATTGTCAAATAAGCACAATATAAATCCTATGCAAGGGCTCTATCAAGACTCAATCACAGAATTACACATACGATTTTCAAAGGAGCCAATGAATAAGATATAGCAAGGAAAATAGGTTTTGTTGAGACATGGGTTACCTCTTAGCCTTAATTAATCCTCCCTTGGCTATTAAGGTTCTTCTCTAAGATTTTCATCCGATTGATATACCTAGGCTTGGTGGTGGGGAATCTCCTGGGAATAATTTCGTGTAATGTAACTATAGGTGGTAAGGGTTCTAATTGCTTTCTAATCCCTATTTATAGAGTTAGGAATCCTATTCAGAATCTGAATAGTAAATGCCTACTTTCTATTCCTAACAGGTATATAGGTCTAGGATTCCTAATTAGAATCTGACTAGTAAAAGGCTTTACTCTCTTTATTCCTAATAGGCTTAACACTCTAGTATAGGCAAGGGTCCACGATCCATGGTGGACCACATTAATTAATTAAAGGGAATCCTAAACAAATTAAATTCTATTTAATTATTATTAACGAAATTAATTAAATAATTAATCCAGGATTTAAGGCCGTAACACGGGGTGTTACAGTTGTTGTGTGCAAAACACTCGTAGTTGCTAAGTGTAGCTGTGTGCAAAACACTTAGTTGGCGTTTGAGTATAGCTGTGTGCGAAATACTCGGAGTTGAGTGTAGCTGTGTGCGAGACACTCAGAGTTGGGTGTAGCTGTGTGCATGACATCCGGAAGATGTGCCTGTGTAGCACTTATTCACTATTGTAACTGTGTGTGGAAAATAGTGAATTACTCCTAGAAGTGAATGGATTAAAGTGGACTAGGAAGATTACGCCACTTCCGAACCACTATAAATTGCCTCTCTCATTTACATCCGCACTTACTTAATTCGCTTTATTTATTTAAGTATTTGACTAACCCGTTTACTATTCACTGTTAATCTTAATCTTTCGGGTTTAGTGTGTTTTCACGTATGCATGTAACTCAAACTTTCCATGTTTAACATTTGAATTATTCTAAGCAAGTTTGACGTGTTGCATGTGACATTCATAATACGGTTGACTTTGCACGAAGTCTTATTTATAATCTTGAATAATATTGTTAAATATTTAGTGGACCATCTCCTTTAAATATTCAAGATATTCATGTCATCTTTACACATCATCTGAGCATATCTAACATGTGTATGTGATTCAATTTATTGATTGGGCATAACTCTTTACTTATATTTATTCCGCTGTGCACTTCAAGTTAATTAAATACTTCTCTATTTACTTGTTATTTAGAGTTGAAATTACCAAAGAGGTATTTATTGTGAAAAAGTTTAAAAAGTCTATTCACCCCCCTCCCCTTCTAGACATTTTACCACCCTTTCGGGACCAAAAATTGGTATCAGAGCGGTTGTCTATCTGAGTCGATTTTGACTGCTAGACTGATCTCGAAAAATCAAGATGATGAAAAGAGATATGGCTCTTGCCCAAAATCTATTATTTTCACTAGATAAATTTGATGATTGGAAAATTCGGATGCATGTACATTTATCTGCATTACATGATGAAATGTGGGAAGTCATCACTAGTGGTCCTATTGAAATTTTGCAAGTCAACGCTTCGTCCGTACAAACAAGTGACACTCCACAATACATTCCAAAACCGAAGGTGGAATGGTCTCGTAAAGATAGAACACGAAATAACTTGGACAATATTGACAAGGATATTTTGTTCAAATCTATCGATGATACGATATTCCAAAAAGTTCGAAAATGCCAATCCGCAAAAGAAGTTTGGGAAACGCTCATTCAAATTGGTGAAGGAGACGAACAAGAAAAGGATAATAAGCTCACCAAAGCATTAAAGAAATTCAAGGATTTTAAAATGCTAAGCGGTGAGAATATTACCGACATGGAGACAAGATTTGTCAAAATCTAGGAGAAATTAATGATCTTGGAAAAAACATTAATCAAAAGGAAATCTCACTCAAAATCCTACGTGGTCTACCATCTACATGGGATATGAAGGTCACGGCCATGAGAGATCATAGAGATCTAAAAACCCTAACAGCCGATAAGCTTTTTAGCGATCTAAAGGCTTATGAGTTTGAGATGAAGTCAAGAGTAGAGGAAGATCATGAAGAAAATAACAACGCAATCATAGTTGAGCAACCGTCAACCTCAAGGTCAGTACAAACTAATGAATTATTGCCTAATGATCAATTTGCTCTCTTCGTCAAGAAATTTAGGAAATTCATGACGAGGAGCAACTACAAGAAAAATCCACAAAGAAAACCATGGAATGCAACGAAAAATTCGAAGAAAGAAATAGTTGAAGAAGATTCAAATTTGTATTACAATTGTAGAAAGCCCAGACATTTCGCAGCAAGTTGTCCACACCCCAAGGTAAGTAAAAGTCAATACACAAATATTTCTAACTCTCAACAGGAAGAATCCAAAACCAAAGACAAAAGATTCAACAAGGAAAGAAGAAAAACACTAATTAGTGACCCACTAGAGACAAGTGAGTCAGAGAAATCTTCAAGTGATGAAAGTGATACCTGAAAAGATGACAATGCAATGTTTTGCATGAGTATCTCCAACAAATCATCCTACGAAGACATGTGTCTTATGGCAAATGAAAATGAAGAAGATGATGTAACATCTAAATCTTATGACTCTGTAAATTCTTCATTCTCTAGAGAGTCCATCTTTCACTTAATGAAAGATTGTCAAACCGTAATGGACACTCACCCTCAACTCAAGGAGCGCAAAAATTTCTTAAGTCTTGAAAAAGATGAATTAAATGAAAAATTGCAAAATGCTCTATTGGAAGTGAAAGATTTGAAGGCTAAAATTATTTGTCTTCAAGAAGAGTGTAAATCAAGGAAAGTGAGAGAACACAACCTTAGAGAGGTTATAGCAACGTTTACACATTCATCCAAAATAATGGACAAATGGTAAATATGCAAAAACCCTCAAGTGATAAAACCGGACTTGGTTATGATCCATCGTGTTCTCAAGCCTCTGCGAAATTGACCAATTCTACTACTACTCTAAATAATGAAGTCCAAGTGGTAAAATTTGTAAAAGGTCAAGATAGCACAATGAGACAAGGAATTGGTTACCAAACTAATGCGAAATTTAATGCTGCAAGGCCGAAGCCTCAAAGAAATAATATTTCGCCAAAGCAGTTTGTACAAAGGCAAAAGTTTGTTCCAAAATGGAAACATACCAATGAGTCAAGTGCACAAAGTCCTCATAGGAAAATGGGAAGAAATCCAAGAATTGGGGTAGGGAGATTTTATCCTTCTAAACAAGATTGGTTTGATGATATTAAACCATGGACTAAGTCCAGATTTAATGTCTTTCAAAGGCTCAAACAATCTTCTTCCCAAGTGCAAAAAAAATGGAGTCAATTTTCAAAAACCGGCACAAAAAATGTTTTCAAAAATTATCTATGATTATAATGTGTTTAATGGTTACCAATCACCTAAACTTATATCAGTGAGTTCTAGGTGGATTTGGGTACCAAAAATGACAAACACCCGAGGACCCAAATCATGTTGGGTACCTAAAAATGTGTAATTTATTTGCAGGAAATTTGGTATTTCGATAGTGGATGTTCTAGACACATGATTGGAAATAAATCTAGTCTTGTGAAGTTCAAAAATATCGAAGGACCAAAAAAGTCGTATTCGGTGGAAATGAACGATACGGCATAACCAAAGGAATTGGTACAATATCCCGCAATGGTTTACAAATCGAAGATGTATCCTTTGTTGAAGGTCTAAAATTCAACTTGTTAAGTACAAGCCAATTTCGTGACAAAGGATATCTATTAGAATTCTTCAAAGAAAAATGTCAAGTGAAGAATGATTCCACTGGAGAAATTGTACTCGAAGGAACAAGGAAGAAAAACATGTACATAGTTGACTGGAGTACAACCAAGAAATCAACATGCTTGATGGCAACAAGTTCAACTGCAACACGTTGGGAATGACACAAAAGATTAAATCATCTAAATTTGAAAACCATCAACAAGCTCGGAAGAACTAAACTCGTCGAAGGTCTACCGGACATTGTCTACAAGAATGATCAAATATGTGATGCTTGCCAAAGAGGAAAACAAATCAAGTCATCATTCAAGTCCAAGACACAAGAATCTACAACAAGACCGCTAAGTCTACTACACATGGATCTATTTGGTCCAGTAGACCCAGTAAGTATAAGTGGTAAGAAATATACACTAGTTGTTGTTGATGATTTTTCCAGGTACACATGGACGATATTTCTCAAGAAGAAAAATGAAGTGGAACAAAAGCTATCGGAACTTCTAAAGCTACTACAAAACGAAAAAGACTTGAAAATTGCAAAAATTCAAACTGATCGTGGAACCGAGTTCATGAATCAAGTGATCCAAGTCTACTGCAATTCTCAACGAATTCTACATCAACTATCCGCCGCACGTACACCACAACAAAATGATGTTGTAACACCCCAGATTTTCGAAAACTTTTGAAACTTATATAAAGAAGGTAAAATCTCATTGAATTCCAAAACATAATATAAAGAGTACGGGGTGCTATGCCACACCTGAGCTAGAGAACTCAGGTACACAGGCTAACTGACTAATATCCTCAACAAGTAAATGCATAAACATGGCACGCAGGCCGAAAGGGAAACTATCTACTTCTACGCTCCATGGTTCTAGCGCGCTCCAGTGTCTACTCTTCTGTGCCTGAAAGCCAAATATATCTGTTCAGCGAGAGATGCTGGTAACCCACTCCAACGCGTTGAAATACAATATATATAGATATATACATAGATATACGAAAAACCATTTCGAAGCATGAAGATATATCCTAAGAGACTCTAGCTTTCAAAACAGGGAATAGACTCGACAGATAGGGATAAGCACAACCACCAGTCATAACCAAGCATGCACAATTCTCAGGTATAGGGAACAGATATGACAGATAGAGATAAGCACAGCCAATAGTCATAATCAAGCATATACAGTTTACTAGCATGTATCCTATGGTCACGTTTTCATAACAACCATAACAATCAAACCATCCCTATCTCATCACATAGCACACTTTGTTGGCGCCACAGGACCAATCGCTTGCCCATACATGAGGGTCAGCGCATATAGCTCTGACACGGCCCCGCAACACCCTGCCCCGTATCGCAACACGGAGGGGTTGATCGCAACCGACCGATGAACCGCAGCTCATCATAATGTTTGATCGCAACCAAACAGTGGACCGCAGCCCAAGAGTAGTCATCTGACCGCAGCTAGGAATATGAACCGCAGCTCATGTAAAACGTTTGATCGCAACCAAACGGTGGACCGCAGCCCGAGAGTGTAAATCTGACCGCAGCCAGCTTCTGAACCGCAGCTCAGGAATAACCAATTTGATCGCAACCAAATTGGGGTATCATGCACACATAACACATAGCAAGCACATGCAACCCACATTAACACATTAGGAAGGGGAGAAAACGTATAATGAAACCTATGCGTGGTCATCCACAAACTAGGGATAATCCTAAGGGGTTCATACTTCTTTCACCTAGGCCAACGGGATACCAATTCAACTAGCATGCGATATATAAGACTCATTTATCCTACGAACCGTACCCGAAACATCAAACTAGACTTAGGCACGATAGACGGAGTCCGTTGGGACACCACGGGGGTCGGGGGAACATCAAACGGGGAAGCCGAAATCCCAAAGTGGGGTAAAATCCAGCGGGCAGCCGGTGGGTGAGGGGTCACCCGCCGGCTGCCCGCGGGCGTCGTGGTTCCGGGCAGCGGGTGCCTGGCGGGCAGTCGCCTGCCCGCCGGCTGCCCGCTGCCGGCGACTTCAACGTTGGCCGCGGGTAGGTGGCGGGTCCCCTACCCCCCACTGACTCTTTCATCACAAAAACGCCCCGGGAACCTTAGTGGAACCCGGAAGCATGCTTAGACACTTTCAAACGCAATTGATAACAACACCTAGACAATTAACGGACCAAAAGCGGGAAACATACGACACATATCCTATCATGCTTTTCTAAACAAATTTAATACCCGAACATGTGAATTCCCACTCAATACATCCAGAATAACACCATACGAATTTCACGATACGACCTAGGGCTCTAGACACATTCAATTTAACAAGAACATGATTCCTCTTTAAACATCAAGAACAATCAAGAATGGCACATAATCATTAAGAAACTAGGTTCCATCAAGAACCGCACAATCATCAAGAATCCCTTTTTCATCAACAAGATTATCAAGATCGCCCATGGAATTATAACACCAATCGTCAAGAACAATATACGAATCATCAATACACAAGAATATGGGGAAATCATAAGAGGGGAATCATAGCTATGAAAATAGGTTTTGTTGAGACATGGGTTACCTCTTAGCCTTAATTAATTTCCTTGGCTATGAAGGATCTTTCTTTAAGTCTTTCTTCTTTCTTGATTTCTCCTAGGGGAATTCTTGGAGCTCCTTGTGGGGTGAGGGATTATTTTAGTGGGGGTTCTACGTGCCTCCTATGTTCCCCTATTTATATATTTAAGAGTCCTAATTAGGGCCCAAATACTATAGGCTTGCTAACTCTATTCCTTTTAGAACTAGGGGTTGGGTTTAGAGATGAGGGCCCACGGACTATGGTGGGCCTTTTCCCAATTAATTATTGTAATTTAATTCTTTCTTTGGGTAATTGGTTAACTGATTAATTGGTTTTAGGGATCGTAACACGGGGTGTTACAGGTGTAGCCGAAAGAAGAAATAGAACGCTAAAAGAAGCCGCACGTGTCATGATTACGTCAGCCGAGCTACCTAAAAGATATTGGGCTGAAGCAATCAACACCGCATGCTATACGCAAAATCAAAGCTTGATACACAAGTCCTACAACAAAACTCCGTACGAGTTATGGAAAGGGAGAAAACCTAAACTCAACTATTTTCATACTTTTGGTATCAAATGTTTTATTCTTAATAATGGTAAAACATATCTAAAGACTTTTGATGAGTGTGCAGATGAAGGAATATTTTTGGGGTATTCATCTACCAGTAAAGCTTTCAGAGTACTAAACAAAATATCGATGGTGGTAGAGAATCAATTCATGTTACATTTGATGAGGTTCACAAGAAGGAAACCCAAAGCAACAAAAATGATCAGGAAAGTTGTCAAGTTGAAAAATCATTTAATGATGCTGACAT